CCCTAGGCCCCCGCCTTGGCCCCCCTGGGCAACGCCGCGCAACTAGATGGTCAGAGAAAGCGAACTCGGCCGGAAAACTCTGGCCCACGCGACCGGCAATGACACCGCGCGTGTCCGTGCCGATGAGATCAACCTTCGGGGCCCCCGGTGAACGCCGCGCCCCTTGCTTGTCGAGTGAGATAGCGATCCGTGGTTGGACCCGGGTGGGAGGCGCTCCTCGCGCACATGCCCAACAACTCGAATCATTTGCTCTCGGGGAACAACAAAAATATTATAACAAACTACAAAACCAAAATCGCCAACGCAGAGAAAAAAGAAAAAAAAAACCCAAAAAAAAACGACGCGGGGGCGTCGTCAACCCCTAACGCAGACATGCCAGGAATGCTACTGGCGATGGCTGGTTTCGCATAACCATTGGCGTCCACGCCCGCAAACGACCTGGCACGAGTGCCTCGGTCGAAAAAGAATCGACGCTGTCGCGTCACAAATACGAGGCCACATGCGAACCCTGCGCCTACCCCCCCCCGCCCCCCACCCACGATTTCTGAGGGGGGGGTGGGGTTCGCTTCGCCCCGGAGCTCCGGAACGAAGTGATACCCGCCCCCCCTCTCAGAAAACGCGGGGGGGGGTAAAGGTAGGGTTCGCATGTGGCACCCAAACAAAACCCGTCGACGCTGCGACGACTGCGCTTGGAATGCCATCGCGACCTGCGCGCTTCAACCAATGGACAGACGTGACAATTTTATCACATATGCCAAGCCCAGACCAATAAGAACCTCAATGCCCAATCGCGATGCGTTTGATGCGCTTCTGCGGGATGACAAATCCAACTCCGGAGTCATCAGCGCTGCGGCCAGCCGTCGCGCGATAAGCTTCACTTCTGAACTTCGGTACCTCCTGGAAGCATAGGATCGCATTCCTGCGTGAAGCGGCTGCGTCTTTGAGAAGCGGGCGAATGCTGCTGAAAGGCCTCCTGGCCGCATTCCAAATCCATAGATAATCGGCAAGCTCAACTCGTTTACTTTCGGATTCGTCTGGGCATAGCTGAACAAGTCCGAAACTTTGGGGCGAACAAACGCCTGCGAAACAACCGAAATTACTCACTGCGTGGAGCTCCCCATATGTGCATTTCATGTTTTATGTCATGCCGTGGTGAGCGTCTGTTCATGAGCGGTCGACTACAACAGCGCGTCCACGTGGGCAACAGGGCCGACGAAGACGAGTGACCCCTAATGCGAGTGATTGCGTATGAGTCAGAGTGAGCTTTGAGTACGGTTGAATGCGAGCCTCTTCCTCTTCATCCCCCCTCTTCAGCTGCCAGGCCTTCCCCTTTTCAGCCCGTGGTAGCTTTGGAGCTTCCCACATGTGCATATGTTGTAGGATAGTTGGCATTTGGATGTGTAAGACGAGCGTTTAGCCACACAAGGCCATAAGTGCATGTCATGTTGGAGGATAGTGCCACGGTGAGCATTTCCAACGATCCCCGCACACAACCACCGCCCCCCCCCCTCGCAGTCACCCCCTATGAATATATATATATATATATGTATATATATATATATACATATATATATATATATATATATATGTCCTGGACTTCGGAACAAACGTTCTGCTCGCGTCAAGGACCTTCGAGCAAAGCGCCCTCCTCCTCCTCCTCCTCCTGTTCCTCCGCCCCCTCCCTTCTCCTGCTCCTGCTCCTCCTCCTCATCCTCCTGCTCCCCCTCCCCCTCCGCACCCCCATGCCCTTCCTCACGATCCCCCGCCTCCTCCTCCTCCTCCTGTTCCTCCTCCTCATCCTCGTTCCTGTCATTTCCCTCCCTGTTGAGCCCAGAAACAAGCGAACCGCCTGAGACATCCCCACAATATGGCCGCGAACGTGCCCGTGCAACCACCCCTGGCGGCTCCCCATAGGGGTGCTGCAACCAGCGCCCCGCTTGAGACATCGTCACAATCTGCTCTCCAAGCGAAGGATGTTGAGCCCAGAAACAAGCAAACCGCCTGAGACATCCCCACAAAATGGCCGCGAACGAGCCCGTGCAACCACCCCTGGCGGCTCCCCTTAGGGGTGCTGAAACCAGCGCCCCGCCTGAGACATCCTCACAATCTGCTCTCCAAGCGAAGGATGTTGAGCCCGGAAACAGGCAAACCGCCGGAAAGATCCCCACAAAATGGCGGCGAACGAACCCGTGCAACCACCCCGGGCGGCTCCCCTTAGGGGTGCTGAAACCAGCGCCCCGCCTGAGACATCCTCACAATCTGTTCTCCAAGCGAAGGATGTCGAGCCCGGAAACAGGCAAAGCGCCTGAGACAACCCCACAAAATGGCCGCGAACGGTCCCACCCCTGGCGGCTCCCCTTAGGGGTGCTGAAACCAGCGCCCCGCCTGAGACATCCTCACAATCTGCTCTCCAAGCGAAGGATGTTGAGCCCAGAAACAAGCAAACCGCCTGAGACATCCCCACAAAATGGCCGCGAACGAGCCCGTGCAACCACCCCTGGCGGCTCCCCTTAGGGGTGCTGAAACCAGCGCCCCGCCTGAGACATCCTCACAATCTGCTCTCCAAGCGAAGGATGTTGAGCCCAGAAACAAGCAAACCGCCTGAGACATCCCCACAAAATGGCCGCGAACGAGCCCGTGCAACCACCCCTGGCGGCTCCCCTTAGGGGTGCTGAAACCAGCGCCCCGCCTGAGACATCCTCACAATCTGCTCTCCAAGCGAAGGATGTTGAGCCCAGAAACAAGCAAACCGCCTGAGACATCCCCACAAAATGGCCGCGAACGAGCCCGTGCAACCACCCCTGGCGGCTCCCCTTAAGGGTGCTGCAACCAGCGCCCCGCCTGAGACATCCTCCAAATCTGATGTGTGTTGAGTAAGTCTGAGTATGAGCAGGTCTGAGTATGAATATGCCTGAGTATGAGTAAGTCTGTGTATGAGTAAGTCTCTGTATGAATAAGTCTGGGTATGAATAGGTCTGTGTATGAGAAAGTCTGTGTATGTGTACGTCTGGGTATGAGTAAGTCTGAGTATGACTAATACTGTGTATGAGTAAGTCTGGGTATGAGTGAGTCTGTGTATGAGTACGTCTAGGTGTGAGTAAGTCTGTGTATGAGTAAGTCTGTGTATGAGTATGTCTGAGTGTGAGTAAGTCTGAGTATGAGTAGGTCTGAGTATGAGTAAATCTGAGTATGAGTAAATCTGTGTATGAGTAAGTCTGAGTATGAGCAAGTGTGAGCATGAGTAAGTCCGACAGGAGGGGAGGAGAAAAGAGGAGGAGGGAGGAGAAGGAGGAGTAGGAGGCGTCCAAGTAATAACAAAAACCCCTTCTTAGGATATGGGGAACAAACGAGACTGCAAAATAATCGGGACCTTCCGGCCCGAACTCGACGGCGTCCCCCTGCCCCGCCCCCAGATCAGCTAACCCATATAGAAGGCGTGGTCCTCGCGAATATCATTCGAATTTGCGCCGAAATCAAGACTCCAGTTAAAGCATAAATCATGATTCGCAACCTTGGCTTGTCTCTCCGCCAATCTTCCCAGCCTATTAAATGTAGAATTCGGCCTCCTCCGCGACGGTGGCACCTCAACTCTAGCAAGAATTTCGCCGCCAGCACTCGCATCAAAATTACAGCTGAGATACATGCGACTGTGATAGGACAGCCGCATTAGCTCAGCTCTGTGAATATCGCAGTGCTGCACCTGGGTCCTGTTATCCATCGTACGGTGATCTAGGAAACACAACTGTCGTAACGAACGCGGGATATTGGCCAAACTCTGCTCGCCCAGCTGAGTGACCCGTTGGCGCGTTCATCCGGCTAGCTTTGCAGGCTTGCACGAACACAACCCGTTGTGCCCGATACCCGGCGTAAGCATCATGTCCTCTTCCTGGCCCATGTTGTCTTCAGTTAAGCGCTGGGCATGTAGCTCCCAGACCTTGGAGCCGCACTCGCTGTCGCTGGATCCACCAGTCCAGCGTGTCCGAAGTGTCCACGAGAGGCCGAACATGCCCGTCGGCAGCTGCGCCGAAACTCTCCAACACACGCCGGAGGTTAGCAATTTCACCGTGTAGTTCATATGACGCTGCGCCTGACCTGTAAGAATGTTGCTTTCCTTGCCAAGGGCATGCAGAGATCAAACTATATTATGAATGAACAGATCGGACGGCAACTCCATACAAGCAGTGCGTGTGTTAGGTGGAGCTGGCGGTCAGAAATTTCCTTGAACGAGCCAAAACTGCACCACCGATAATTGCTTTCGCTAGTACTGGTGAACGAACAAGAACATATCGAGGACACTGCGCGCACGCACAGACTGTTACTTCCCCGGTGTGGTTCCTTTTTTCGGAAGCCGAATGGTTACGTATCAGCCTACAAGTATCTTTTCGAGGACTTTGCAGGGCGACCCCGTGTGAAACCTTCACGAAAAAAACCGCTGGCACACTGATCCATTTCCCGGCGCCACCGCGGAATGCTTCAGCTTGCTGGGGCATGTATCAGTTCACCCCGGAAAATATGAGATGCCCAGAGGCCCCCAATGTGAACGAAGAGGCGCTCAGAGCCCACGCGACCCCACCACCCCAAGGAACCCTCCAGCAGGGCCACGTGAGGCCGACACCCATTGAAAGCAAACACATTCGGAAAACACGATGCTTCATGATGAGGCTCGTTTCGAAATACCGAGAGCCTCCGTGGGAGGAACGTACCAGCCAAAACGAGACGGCCCAGAAAAAGGATGGCTCCAAGAAACGACCCGCCACTGCTACAAAACCCGACAGAGCTAAGGTGTGTCGAGCCTCGTCGGGCGAACTGAATAAAACCATCGAGCCTAAGACGCCTGTACAAGCCCTGGGAAGCATGACAAATCAATGGTGCAAGCATCGCGACGCCGCTCCGATGCGGCCCTGGCTTATTGATTGGGTTCGCCGCAGGCATATGGATAAAGGCGAGCGCCAGCATTAATAGCATGGCCTGTAACCTAATCAGGTTCTCAAATTGAGATCTCAAACGGACTCACGAGTCCTCAGCCTCCTCGTCTTCCACCTGGCGGCGCCAGCGACGTCAACGACAGTGATGATGACGACGACGACGGCGCCGACGGCAAAGCCCAGCGACTGTCCGCTCAACATCAATATGCGGGGCCCTCCTCAGATCTATCATGTCCAAGTTTCTTGAGTCGCGCCCAGCCGCGGCGACGGGAACCCCCAGAACCACCCCCAAATCAGCTCTGGGGACCTGTTCCAGGATGAGTTATGCCCAAGACCCCACCAGCGTTCTGGGCTTAGGTCGGGCGTGTCCCCCTACAGGCGGGTCTTGCAGGAAAAACAAACAATAGTATAAACAAATACCCCCCGAATGCTGAACAATGCTCACACAACTGTCCCCTAAGTATGTTTTGACAATTTTTGAATATACCTCCTTTAGAGGGACAGGCCCGACTTGACTCTGGGCGAATGTGTATTGGCAAATTGTAGGTTCCAACCCCCTTCTAGCCGTTTGGCACAGGGTTTACCCAGCCCACTACCTCCCCACTGGGATCGGGACCGTGGGTCCTCAAGGGTCGGAGCCTCGAAGATGGCCCAAGATGGCCCGATCCGGTCTCTCTCTTTATCCCTAATATTGACCGAGTCAGCCCCCCCGAGGCCCCAAGGCCACCAACATGGCCCCAGGCAAGCTGCAAGAGCTTCAAACCGACCCCAAGGGCGCCAAAAGATGGCCCTAAGAAGCCTCCAAGAAACTGCCAGATCGAAAGATCCGCGACGGCCCTTATGCTCGCCTCCTGGTCTGCTCAGGCTGTCCCCGTTTGTCCCATTGCATGTTCCGACACTTCCGTGATCAATCAAGGCAACTCGCCAGGGGCTGGGGATCGCTTCTGGATGGGTTGGTGAGGTTGCTTTTTTGATCGCGACCGCAAGCGGGCACCCGCGCGGGGCCAGAAGGGCCACACAGCAAGGGGCATCGAAACACAGCGCAACTGTGCTGGCTAGGCGCTGGAAAAAAGGCCACAAAGGTGACGAAAACTAACAGGCGACGGTTGGTGGGGTTGCGCGAAACGTTGAATTGTTCACGGGAGCCCAGCCGTGGCGACGAGACGCCTCCGGGAAGCCCCAAAGGCCCAGAAACGCCAAAAAACCTTCTCTCGGAGCCCAGCATCGAATGTCGACGACATCAACCGGCAGCGTGTGCGACGGCGGCGGCGTTGATGGTGATGGCGACGACGACCTGGGCTCTGGACCCCATCCCCAGGTATTCATGCGTATAAGGTATGAGAGTGGTTTTAAGACCGATTAGCGCCTACTGGTGTCGGTCTGTGCCCCTGTTAGCGCCAATGAGCGCCTATTGAAAAGCTGTAGTGTATAGCAGCGCCTGCTAGCGCTTATTAGCGACCACTATTAAGCAGCTGTAGGCGCTCATAGCAGAGAAAGAGAGCTACACGTGATTCAAATGGCACGCGCGCATAACACACACACACATCATGTATACAGACTCATTTTTTATAAATATATATATATGTGTGTATACGTATGTATGGTATACCTACGTGTATACATACATACATACATACATACATACATACATACATACATACATACATACATACATGCATGCATGCATGCATGCATGCATGCATGCATGCATGCATACATACATACATACATACACACATACATGCACACATACATACATACATACATACATACATACATACATACATACATGCATGCATACACACATACATACATACATACATACATACATGCATACATACATACATACTTACATGCATACATACATACATGCATGCATGCGTGCATACATGCATACATGCATACACTAATACACACATGTTGTCATCCAGAGACGCTTCCTGACGGCGCCAGGGCTCTTGATTGAGGACCCCAGAGTCGGACAAGACGAAAGGGGGGTGAGAGTGAGGGTGAACGAGAGGACGAGGGGACACAGCGGCCCTCGGAGAAGGAGAGCGCAGCCGACCTGTGAGGGCGAGGCAGGCCACCTGCACGCAGCAGTGTTCACAACCCCCCTCAAAGCCCCTCCCTACAGCCGAACCCAGACAAGAAAAAACACCTTCCGAGCACATGAGACCCTCCGCCCTCCAGACACACACACACACACAGAACGCCCAAGAGTACCCTCCCCAGGATGCACAAGAACAACTAACAAGCACGAAGAACATTGGAGCACACTCCCCGGACCGACCTAGATCTTATACGTACCCCAGTGCGACTGCATCCCCCCCCCCTGTCGTCCGATCCGACGGGGGCAGACCATACAAAAACAAGCCTGAAGCGCAGCGCAGCCGACTCTCTTCACGCCTCGGGCGGCGCGCGCAGAGGCCCTCTCGAGAGACAGCCTCCAACAGCCTCTGGCCGAGCACAGCTCCAGATAGCCTCCAAGCTGCCTCAAGGAAGCCTCCGATCAAGGGGGGTAAGAGGAGGAGGAGGAGGAGGAGGAGGAGGAGGAGGAGGAGGAGGAGGAGGGAGGAGGAGGAGGAGGAGGAGAAGGGGGAGGAGGAGGAGAGGAGGACGAGATGAGGACGTGGAGGAGGAGGACGTGGAGGAGGAAGACGGACAGGAGGAGGAGGAGGAGGAGGAGGAGGAGGAGGAGGAGGAGGAGGAGGGGAGGAGGAGGAGGAGGAGGAGGAGGAGGAGGAGAGGAGGAGGAGGAGGAGGGAGGAGGAGGAGGAGGAGGAGGAGGAGCAGGAGCAGGGAGGAGGAGGAGGGAGGAGGAGGAGGAGGAGGAGGGGGGGAGGCGGAGGAGGAGGAGGCGGAGGAGGAGAGGAGGAGGAGAAAAAGGAGGAGGAGGAGGAGGAGGAGGAGGAGGAGGAGGAGGGAGGATGAGGGGAGGAGGAGGGAGGAGGGGGGGGGAGGAGGGACGACTCGAAAAAGTAGCTGCTCGCAAACGGCCTGGCTCCGCCGAGGAGGACCCACGGCCCACTGCATCGAGGCGACCACGTTGCTTTCCGGACGTTTGCGAGCATCGGGGGCGGCCAAGAGGGGGGCGTCCAAGGGGGGGGGGGGGGGGGGGGGGGAAATCATGGCCAGCGGCACGTGGGCGGCCCAGCGGTGGGCAAGGGACGTAATGAAATAAGGAGAGGGGCCATGAAATCTGGGGAAATACAATGGCCCACGCCATGATATCCCCCCCCCTAATCATCAACCCCTCTTGTCCGCCCCCGAAAGTAGGCACCTTGCGAGCAGCGGAACGCGCCGGGTGACAGGAAGTGCCCCTGGCCAGAAAAGCTCCCACGATTCCCAGAGAGGCCCGCGGCCTCCAGAGCATCCGTCGCGCGCTGCCCAGAGGGCCCCCAGGGGCTCCGGAGTGGAGCGGGAAGCGGGAGGATCTTTGGGCCAGTCTCTGTAGCAACTCACGGGAGCCACCCATATCATCTTTGGTGATCCTTGCGAATTGACGCTAGATCGACGCTCGTCGACGCTAGATCCGGCGCTATCTCGCCGACTCCCAGACGCTAATCGAGGGCAGTCGACACTGAAGGCGAAATTTAGAGGGCACACCAGGCTCCCATGATTTGCTACCAGAGGCCAGGGGCACATGCAGCTGCCTCCGAGAAAACGGTTTCTGAACTCGAAAGCCCCCCTGGTGTCCGCACGGGGCCGTGGAGAGACCCGGTCAGCGCCCCTCTGACGGGGACTCCGCCGACGGGAACCTTGGCCAGTGGCCCAGCGAACCCAATACTCTCCGATGTGGGCAACGCTGCAATCCCAGACAGAGACCCTACAGCAGCAACTGTCCGCAAATCTCCGATAATACCCGCTAGTGAGTCGGAGTGCCCGTTACAGTGCCGCTGTCCGGGGCCCGGCAAGCCAGGCCGGGACGCGCCAAGCAGACAGGCCGAGGCGGAGAGGGGCCCTCGAAGACGTCCGGCGGGGCTCTCCAGAGGCCGCAGCCCTCCAGGCTCAGGTCGGGCATGTCCTCCAACAGGCGGGTTTGGAAAAAACAATGAAAATATTCACCAGAACATTGGGGAAACAAAAAAAACACGAAAATTAACAACAATTAGCCTGGCGAAGGACCCATGTGCAGTTGTGAGTACCGCAGTTGTGGGTATCGCCTTCGGTGGAGCTCCCTATGGGCCACGAAGCGACGTACTGGGTGGGGGAAACCCATGTGGACACCGCTACTGCGACCTTAGGTGGAGCTCCACATGGGACCACGCAGCGCTGTGCTGGATAGGGGGAGACGCATGTGGACGCCGCCACTGGGGCCCTTGGGTGGAGCTCCTTGTGGGGCCGCGAAACGCTGTGTTGGGCGGGGGAGACGCATGGCGACACTGCCACCGGGATTTTAGGTGGTGGAGCGCCCGATGGAGCCACGAGGCTCTGTCCTAGGTGGGGGAGACGCATGGGCCACGAAACGCCGTGCTGGGTTGGGGAGACGCATGTGGACACTGCCACCGGGATTTTAGGTGGTGGAGCGCCCTATGGAGCCACGAGGCTCTGCCTTGGGTGGGGGACACGCATGTGGACACCGCCACCGGGGCTTTGGGTGGAGCTCCCTATGGGGCCGCGAAACGCTGTGGTGGGTGGGGGACACGCATGTGGACACCGCCAGTGGGACCTTCGGTGGAGCTCCCTATGGAGCCACGAAGCGCTGTTTTTTGGTTTGGGAAAACGTATGTGGACACCGCCAATGGGGTTTTGGGTGGAGCTCCCTATGGGGCCACGGAGCGCTTCGCTGGGTGGGGGAGACGCATGAGGACACCGCCACTGGGACCTTAGGTGAAGCTCTTGAGGGTGCCATGAAGCGCTGTTCTGGATGAAGGAGACGCATGTGGACGCCGCCACTGGGCCTTTAGATGAAGTTCCCTACGAGGCCACGAAGCGCTGTGCCAGGTGGGGGAAACGCGTGTGGACACCGCCACTGGGACCTTGGGTGGAGCTCCCTATGTGGCCACGGCGCGCTGTGCTGGGTGGGGGAGACGCATGTGGACACATCCACCGGAATTTTAGGTGGAGCTCCCCATGGGGCCAGGGAACGCTGTGCTGGGTGGGGGAAACGCATGTGGGCACCGCCGCTGGGACTTCAGGTGGAGCTCCCTATGGAGCCACGAAGCGCTGCGTTGGGTTGGGGAGACGCATGTGGACACAGCTAGTGGGGCCTTAGGTGGAGCTCCCTGTGGAACCACGACCACGCCGTAATTGGTGGGAAAGACGTATGTGGACACCGCCAGTGGGACCTTCGGTGGAGCTCGCTATGTGGCTATGAAACGCCGTATTGGGTGGGGGACACGCGTGTGGACACCGCCACTGGGACCTTGGTGGGGCTCCCTATGTGGCCACGAATCGCTGAGAACAGAAGGAAGGAAAGAGGGATGGAGGGAGGGAAGGGAAGGAACGCGGGGACCGCCTCTTCAAAACGAGGACCCAAAACCACAGGACGGTTGGGAAAACAAACACCACAACACATTCCCAGCAAAAGGCAAACATAGTGCGCGGCAAATCGTCGCCTGACTGTTGCTTGTACTACTCTTGCATATTCCTCCGACGGGTCTCCAGGCGGCCCAGGCGCCGCCGCAGCAGCACCCGGGCGCCTGTGTGAGCAGGACTGCGCCCTCTCCCGCGAGGGGCGCCCCCCCCCCGTCGAAATCGGACCGCCACGCCCGGCTCTGGCTGGCCCCGGCCAGTGCCGGCATGCGAGTCGAAGCATATCGAATCGAACCGAAACCGCGGGCCCAGCCCGACGCGACGTCAAGAGTTGTTCATGACGTCGATCCCCAGAAACCCCGACCCATTGCCCGGGATCGGCTTCTCGTCCCGAGCCTCTTTTGGACGGCCCCCCACGGGCCCGGGAAGGGCTTCAGGGGGCTGAAAGCAGCGAAAGGCCTCCCGTTCTGATGTTTTCACGACCCGGGGGGGGTCTTGAACTTGTTTTCTTGTTATACTCTTCACCCCCCTATCACATCGCGGCGGGCGGCCGCCGGAAATCTTGGGACATCCTCAAAAAACCGTAGGATCTCTGTGCAAATGGGGGCCACATGGAGCGACGCGATTCGGGGAGGGGGGAGGAGGAGGAGGAGGAGGAGGAGGAGGAGGAGGAGGAGGAGGAGGAGGAGGACGAAAAGGAGGAGGAGGAGCAGGAGGAGGAGGAGGAGAGATGGAAAAGCAACGCGGTCGACTCCGCAGCCGCGCCCCCCGCCCGCGCAGGCGGCGCGGGCTGTCACGAAGTCGCGAGCCCACCCAGGAGACAGGGCGGGCCTCCACCCCACTGCCGCTCCAGGGCAGAATATATCTGCGGGGCCGAAGCCCCGAGCCGAAAACACAACAAGGTCTCGTCGTTCAGCTGCATGGCGGCGCCCCGCAGCTTGACGAACGACTTGCAACCAGCACAGGCGGTGAGAAGCGGGGGCGTGCCGAAATCCCGAGGAACCATGCTGTCCTGCTGTCCACCAGCACGGCCTCAATTAACCCACGGTCGTTCCGAAATTAGCAACGCACGCGCCAGGGAACACCTAAAAACCACAGTTCACAACGTTGCACGTGATATACTGCCCGTTGGATTGAACTGACCGGCCAGCCAAGCCAATGTGCGTGCGGCAACCTGGGTTACAACCTACCGGGTGGAGTCTGAAGCGAGGGGACAACACTTGAAGTATATACTTCGACAGCTGGCCCCGTCAACAGGACGTTGGCTCCCCATGCACATTGTGCAGGACAAGAACAAAACCAACCCTCCAAACCACAAGCGAAATACACTCCATACGCTTCTCAGGCGGATGAGGGAAACTATACCACAATACCTGATGACGCCAGCCCCCAGCTTGACGACACACCTGGCGCGTTGAACTGGAGAGACAAAACATCCCGTTCCATCTCCCTGAAATGCCCAATCAGATACACTCCCCATGCGGCTGTGGAGGATTCACACACCGTCGCTGGTGGCACCAGTGCCTGTTAGTGTAGGCCCCAGCTTCAACACCACTTGTTGAGAACAAAGCGGCATGGCGATCCCAACAGCTGCACTCCAATGCCCGCCCTGGCAAAAAGGTACACGATGAGCACCAACGACTTTAGCATGTCCCCTGACACCCCCTCAAATTGCGAGCCCTGGTCCGATGCAGCTTAGCCGACTGCAGCCAGGCCGGTGCGCGCGCTGGTGTGGACCAAGCTCCCATCGCCTATTGAGCCAAAGCGGGCAAGGGAGGCTGACTTGGGCCTGGAACTTTAGCCGAAATGGCTACGGAGGGGGAGGAGAAGGACGAGGAGGAGGGGGAGGAAGAGGGAGAGGAGAAGGAGTGGCACGCGTACGAGAGCCACGGGGGGGGGGAGGAGGAGAAGGAGAAGGAGGAGGAGGGAGAGGAGAAGAAGGAGGAGGAGAAGGAGGAGGAGGAGTCGAGGAGGACGAGGAGAAGGAGAAGAAGAAGGAGGAGGAGGAGAAGGAGGTGGAGGAGTCGAGGAGGACGAGGAGGAGTAGGAGGACGGGGAGGAGGACGAGGAGGAAAGATGGCCGAGCACGGCCGTTATCGCCAAGACGCCCCCGAACAAAAATGTCTCGGACCGCGAGGCGCACCGAGTCGACTCGCAGGCGGCCCCGGAGGCGGCGGGCCTCACGCCGCGCGCGGCCGCCCGAAGAGCAGGCACAGCGCTCCGCGCCAGCAGCCGCCCCGGGACGCCAGCTGTGGAGCCGCCTCCGCCTCCTCCTCCTCGGGCGGCCCGTCGGGAAAGAGGGCGACGGAGGGGTGCGAGGGAGGAGGGAGAGGAGGAGCGGGCCGGGGAGGGCGAGGGGAGGAATGGGATGGGGGGAGGGCGAGGGAGGAGGAGGAGGAGGAGGAGGAGGAGGAGGAGGAGGAGGAGGAGGAGGAGGAGGAGGAGGAGGAGAGGAGGAGGAGGAGGAGGAGGGAGAGGGGAGGGGGAGGGGGGGGGGAAGGGGGGAGGAGGGAGGAGGGGGAGGGAGGAGGATAAGCTAGGTGCGCAAGCGTCAAATCTGGCGTCCTACCCCTTCCTCCCGTCCCTCACCATTCGCACAGTCGAATGTCGAAAAGGGCAGTGATCCCGACAGAGTACGCGATACATGATACATCACATAATGGCATAACACAGAAGAGCACGGCCCCTGCCGACGTCGTCGCGTCGAGAGTGCGACTCCTTTCGACAGCACGGTCAAAATAACACCAGAAATGACAAAAAAAAAACGCCAAAAAAAACACCAAAAATAACACCAAAATAACACCAAAATAACACCAAAAATAACACCAAAAATGCAA